TTTCCAACAAAATCGGTTTACAAATCACAATCGCGTAACATATAAGCAAAAAAAGTCGAATTGAGAACCTTTTTTGAAGTCGGTTAAAAATTACTGAATGTAACCAATCAATATGTATTCTCGTTTATAAATGGATAAGTAACTGTTATATGTAAATAATAATAATCATAATAATTATTCGCAATAAGATCCATTCGGTATGTTTGTAAATTTTCAAATCGCGGTTTCTCCATTCCGCAGTTTTGGTTACGACAATACTGCCGTGTCAAACCAAAGACCTGCAGGTTCAATACAGTGTTTTGCAATTTCATATATTTCCTTCGCCGCGGATAAAGCCGGAAGGGCTTTTTTGAGCGAAGCTTGTAATTAGTAAATAAGTATTATGGTCAATAAAATTAAAAAAAAAACAAAACAAGTATCTCTCGGCTGTGATCAAAGGAAAAAAAATTATTAGTTTTCCAATAGAAATAGCTTATTTTTCAACGTAAAATTATGATAGTTTTAGATTTCTTTAAAATCTTATTTACAACGTAAGTTAAACGTATCTTTTTATGACATTAAAATAAAAAACTACAAAAATCCGAAAATCATTCTAGCAGTATTTTCTGAAAATGTTTTTTCTTGACGTTACAGTGTTTTGGTTGGACACAGCAGTGTATTTGGTTTCATGTAGTGGAGTACGCCCGACCCGCGCTCAACCCGCTGCGATGCGCACCCGCGTTTTGTGTGAAAGCAATTGGACAACGCGACTCACCAGACGGACCCGACCCTACCCCCAACCAGTCAATATATATAGTCAGAGCGAACGCGAGCACGTGAACCTGGCGCGAGCGTCCGTCCCATACCCGCGTCCGGTGTATAGTCGTCCATATAAATACACGGCATTAGATCCGCCGCGATCCCGACCCGACAAGTACCCGACCCGCACCCGACCCGCGCCCGACTCGCGCCCGACACGCACCCACTCTCTGTGTGTTTCACGCTTAAATGTTAACATCTTTGAATGACGATCTATCGCGTCAACATCTATGTGCAGATGACAACATTTATAGAACATTGTAGTCGTTCTTTGCAACTGTGATTACGGTAATCTTTGACCAATGTCAATTTAATGTCTTTAGCCAATGGTAGAAACCAATCCTAATAATAAGAGTTACACTTATGGTTTTTGAAAAAATGCGTATGCGCAAGACGTTTTTGGTGTTCGACCGAGACTTCATGGACCGAAGCGAACGAGCCCCCCTCTTACAAGATACGGTCCTCGATGATGATGACGAATGGCAAGTTGTTGAATACAGAAAAAACTAATTTAGGTGTGCATTTCAATTGTGTGTGAAATTCGACCTCGTCGTCACTTTCCATCAGGTGAGGTGGAGGTCAACAGCACACTTATTTTTTATGAAACAAAGACACATCGCACGTGACTACTAACACAGTGTTATCTCAAAAATTGCATTATATTATTACAGTGTTGTCCTGCCACATTGAAATTAAATCGTATACTAATGACATACATACATATGTAACGCAATTTTTGAGATTGTCCTGTGCGATATTATACTCTTAAATAATAATAATTCATTTATTTCAAGTCACTTGGACCCGTAGTGTTAGTTACAATGTCACTAATAATTACATTACGGGATAGTGCATTGAAGTTTTACGTTTTTAGCGTCGGTTTCTTTGCGATTTTCTATTCTATTAGGTACGTTAAATTTATTATTGAGTGAGTAACTTCATAAGTTTCTCATAGGTGCGCTGACGACGTCAGAAAGCCGTTTAAACCCAAAACAGTGCTTCTATTTTCTCAATGTCCCTCGGCAATCATCGGATTCCCAAATCGGATCGGATTTCCAAATGCACGCGAATATTAATTTCCACGCCCATTAATTATTACATTTAAAATTTATAATAATTTGAACAACGTATTTTATTGTTCTTTTCTTTTGATTTCCGTGTGAACTATACATATAGACTTCTAAAACTATTATTGTATTGTATTTGCCTATTTTTAATAACATATACCCCATGTCAATAAGCAAGAATATAAAGAAATAAAGTGTGATTCTGTTATGATGATGATGGCGCTCATATTTCCACGAGCTGCTGAATCAGCAGCACAGAGAGGTGCAGCCACCGGTCCTCCCTCCGAATCAGGGACTAGTGCGACCGGTAATGCCTGAGGAAGTCCACTTAGCTCTTCGTCGCATGAAGAATCGGAAAGCTGTCGGAGCCGATGGGGTTCCCATCGAGGCCTGGATGGCAATGGGTCCCCGTGGTGTGGGCATCCTTACCGGCCTCTTTAATCGCGTGCTCCTCACCGGTAAAATCCCTAACCAATGGAGACTGAGTATTATCACTCCAGTCTTCAAAGGGAAGGGATCGGTGCAAGAGTGTGGCGATTATCGGGGCATAAAGGTCATGCCCCACACCATGAAGCTCTTCGAGCGTATAATAGACTCTCGGATCCGACAGGAGAGTGCTGTCTCGGAGGGTCAATATGGGTTTCGGCCTGGTCTAGGGACCATGGATCCTGTTTCTGTACTTAGCGCGTCCGGAGACATCGACGGCGACGTCAGAGCCCGAATCGCAGCCGCTTGGGCAAAGTGGCGTGAGGTGACTGGTGTCATTTGTGACCCCAAGATTTTTTTTTGAAATTAAGCTGTAAGGACAGGTCTGTAAGTCCATCATTAGGCCTGTCCTTTTATATGGCACTGAAACGTGGCCCGTACTTGAGCATCATAAGCAGGAGCTGCGTGTCACGGAAATGAAGATGCTGCGCTGGATGTGTGGAGTTTCACGGAAAGACCGTGTCGGAAACTCCCGCATCCGCGGCAGCCTTCACGTCCGTGACATTGCAGATAAACTGCAAGAAAGCCGCCTACGTTGGTACGGCCACATCTTACGGTAACCGGCATGCTACGTGGGAAACAAATGTCTGGCTATGCCACCTCCGCCAGGCCCCGGTAGAAGGGGCAGACCCAAGAAGTGCTGGCTTGACGTCGCCAAGGGTGATATGCGTGCCAATGATCTCACCACTAAGAATGCCGAAGACCGTGCAAAGTGGACGAGAAAAAGTAGGAAAGCGGACCCCGGGCTCCGCAGCAACACTGCTGAGGACGCAACCGGGACAACGGTCAGATGAGAGAGAGAGAGAGAGAGAGGTTGTAACCCTAACTAGCCGTGAACAGGTTCACGGCAATGAAATGGGAAACTTCCGGTCCACAAAATTTATTAAAGAAGTAAAGTTTAAAGAAAGGCTGTAATAATATAAAGGTAAATGTAAAAAAACAGGTATAACAGTATAAAGAAAGAAAGAAAGAAAGAAACATTTATTCGGCTATTACAAATAAAATATACAAATAATAATAATAATATTAACCTGAATTTAAATTAAAAAGTAAACCACTAAAAAAAAAATAATCAAAAAATATATATATTACTAAGT